TCACAGATTCACAAATGATTTAAATGAAGGAGACTACTTGCATATTGTAAATAAAGTACTATGAGCTCTGTTAGCGAGACAAACACCCTCTGAGAACAAAATGCTCATCACTGGATATTCAATTATTATAGCAGTCAGATTTATAAGTGAAAAGAAATTGATAAAAAAAAATTGTATACATGAGCTCTATCCCCAACGGTGGAGAGTGAGACCCCTAGCGCCCCCTCAGGGTGTCATGTAGAAGGTGAGGGCCTCATCTAGGGTTGCCAACTTCCAGAAATGGAGAAACGGGACACACGCACGTGTCCCCCGCACGCGCAAAGATTTTCGGGTTTCTGGCGGATTAGGGATTTCATACATCGTTTGTTCATTTTGATGGCAGAAAAGACAGGCAAATCTCCCGTCGCTATTGAGGAGTCTATAAAAAAAAAATTATTCTCAGATTGCACTAAGTGGCTTTGTGGCGCAGTGAGATAAGCGTCGCTCTTCGGTACGGGAGACCTGGGTTTGAAACTCTTCTCAGAATCTGCATTTTTGTAGTTGATCATAGTATAATTAGTACTATAGTTATTGTTATTATAGTATTTTAGGGTATTATTATAGTATTATAGGTTTATTCATTATGGAATTATTAAATATAAAACAATTGTGTTGAATTAAGAGAGGGATAATGGGTTACATTATAATATATGTCAAGGTGAACGTGAACAGGCTGACATGCCACACAGACAATGATGCCGCGGCCGCGGCCCACCGGAGAAAATCTCACACACACACACACGTGCGAGCATTGTGCCTGCCCTGTCAACTGAGCGGTCCTAGCGCCCTTCGGATACAGCACACAAACACACAGGCACGCAGCCAGACACACTGCATTGCGCGCAAACAGAAAAATATTTTTTATTTTTCCCTTTACACGGGAGTCCGGGACAAACAAAGTCCCGTACGGGATACGCCCATTTTGACTCAAATACGGGGCGTCCCGGCTAATACGGGACGGTTGGCAACCCTATTGTAAAGTGCTGTGTTTACCGGAGCGTATTAACGCAGTCATGAAACTTCCGTTGTCTAGCCATGGCGATCGCTGCGTGTGCAGCGTTTTGACTCTTTACAGAAGAATGCGATTTGAGACAGCATTAGAATCATGAACATCTCTGTACGCACTTCTGCAACACAACTGGATTTAACTTCACTCTAAGGTGTACGCCTATGTTCTTAACAATGTGAACCTCGGAGACCCAACACTTTCAATAAGTTATTTGCCATCACATACAGTAAGGAGGCTGGGCTGGAGGTTCTGAGATCTGTTTGAGGCAGGGGCGAATCTAGACAAATATTCATGGGGTGGCAAGAGGGTGGCAGGAGAATTTCAGGGGTGGCATCCCGTGGCAGAAATATATGCTGATTTAATCGCAGTCATATCAATCAATGTTAACTTGGAAAGCCACAATATTGATATTTTAAATCAATAATATGAGGTGACATTATTGTGGCACATCAGTAAAGCCTTAAATAGAAATATATAAGGTGGCAGACAAAATGTAATGAATTTTAACTGAACAATAACTGAATCAGTTTGTTTAACTCTTAGATCAGCAGGGGTACCAAATCTATGCAGACT